TTCCTATTTTATTAATTATAATTATTTACGGTTAGCGATAAAAGTATGTGTGGACCACGTCAGCAAAGTGTCTTTATCGAACTCGCCTGTTACTCGCATCACTCGCTGCTCTCGTTTGGCTCATAATCTCAGACTAGTTCGATAAATAATCACTTTGCTGACTTGGTACATAAATAACTATTATAGCCAACCGTCAATAAAGCCATATATTACCATAGCGATTTCCGGAAGTAAAGAAACACTTTCACCTCACTATAAAAATCAAATATTTTATTTGGCGCTAATATTTATCAACATAGCCATGTCCGTCTGACAGAAATAGTAGTTAACTGATTTGTTTTGCATTCGCTGTCATTTTTCTATTTGTTTATGTTTTCATACTGAAATGTTATGTTATAATATCTTCTTTTTTATTAATTATAATTATTTACGGTTGGCAATAAAAGTTTGTATATACCACGTCAGCAAAGTGTCTTTACCGAACTCGCCTGTTACTCGTTTCTGTCGTTCGGCTCATAATCTTAGACTAGTTCGATAAAGAATCACTTTGCTGACTTGGTACATAAATAACTATTATAAAAGTTCGAATTTGACGGTGCTAACTTCACGGACTCTTTCACGGACCAGTAAATCGATTATTTTAGTAATTTACCTACCGATAAAAACTTTAGCAACACATGATTAATTCAGCAATTTTTTTGATTATAAAAATTTCACCGATTGCTTTTTGGATTATAATATGAATTATTATGTAACATAACGAAAAGGTATTTAATAACTGTATCTAATGGGTGATTCGATAACTTTCACTGATTAAGCAAATTTTTTCAGGCACCTATATCAGATATCGAATAGGTAGACCGAAATAAAAATAAATAAATCAAGCATAGACCATTTAATTAGAAATATGTATACGGGGTGAGGTCGGTAAGTATTCGTTTTATTTTGTATTTTTCTCGGATATCGTTTACTTCAAAAAATAACGTCCAGTAAAATTTTAAAACATCATTATTAAAATATATTACATATCTGATTACATTTTAAATAAAAACTACAATAAAAAATTTAAATGTGTCCAACACATGACTTTTCTGTCTAGTTATTACAGATTATTTTGTTCAACCTATTGTAAATGTTTAAAGGATGAACAAAATCATTCATTTTCCGCACACATCTTACTCGAAACATTGTTTATATATGTTACGAGCAGTGTTGTAAATTGGGCACTGACGATATTGACCGGACACTAACGTCAGCAGAATGCCCAATCAAATAGGAGATTAACGAAAATTACCGGCCAATATCGTTAAAGACCGAAATATCATCTTTGACCGTAACATATATATTCATTACCAACAAAAATATACAAAAATGTAAATGTTACACTTTTCATTAATTTTTTTTCATTACAGTTCAATTAATAGAAATTATTATTAAAACAAAAATTATAGAGAATGATATGACAAACAACTTTTATTTGAAGAATTTTCTTCTCCAATCGTAAATAACCGATAGACACTGAAAAGAAAAGTGAAGTGAGAAAATCGGTTGAGATTTGAAAAACTGCTGAAATGCAATTTTTGGAATCATGAAAACATATAATCCAGGTTCCAGGTTCTTTTTTTTTAATTCTCAGCTTTTTCAATTTTTCTTTGGTTTGTTTTCATTTTAGCAACATCGGGATGTATATTTTTCATAATTTCGTAGAAGAAACTGGGGATTTCCAACAATTGCATTTTATTTTTCTTATCTTAACCGATTTTCTCACTTCACTTTTCTTTGTCATTTCCCGTTTACAGCGGACCGTACACAAAAACTTAATACTGGTGAACGAATGAAGGATCTTTGAAATTTATTCTAATACAATCAGAGATTGTCGTCCAACTCTACGATGTCACAATTGTGGCTTTAAAGAAAAATTGAGAGAGCTGGGATGGGATTAGAATGTGTGTGCGCCGACGAGAATAGAAATTTGATTGACTACAAATCTACCAATTCGATTGTTAAAGTCATGTGCCTCGATATCCCAACTGGTACAGGCGTGGACGGCTCTAGTCAGAAGGTTACATGTTCGGTACCTGGTCGATGCATTCATTTTTTCTTTGGCTTGTTTTCACTTTAAGGTAGTTCACTCGCGACAGTCGTACATAAAAATATCGCTTAATGGTGAATACCAATAGTTCGAGATTCTCAATGCTAATCAATTTTATTTTTGTAAGAGACTGTACAAAACACATGTAAGCTTATATCATCTTATATATATTAAAATCCATCCGGCAACCTCATAAATACATAAATGGTTTGCTATAGAAATTTGTGACTCCCTCATATTAATTTTAAGGGTTTGTTTTGGTTCAAACAGAACCGCTGATTCCAGTTCTCAAATACAGTGGACGAATTAATTTTTCAAGTAAACGTCGCGAGGTTATAACATCCTCTTAGCTGATCGAGTGTTAGTTTGGTACAACGCGTTGATTGCAGCTTATACAACGTTGCCAAGTTGTAATAATTTTACCAACTACGCGTCGATTGCTTTAAAAATATTTTTATTTTAAAAATCTATATCTTTTTACTAAGACGGTCAAAAAATTCAGCGTTTCTTTAGAAAATTTTATATCTTCTTGATTTACATTACATTAGTTTTTAAAAAATATGGTAAGAACAGTTTTCGAGATATCTGGAAATAAATGCATTACTTGTGTACATGAGAGGTTTCAAGAGTGTTAATTATGCACATTTTGATTGTTAATATCTCGTTTCACAGACGGTCAAAAAATAATTTTTTTTTTATTTACATAAAAGACACTTTTATTAACCTTATATTTCAATTTTATTGAATTCTTAAGAAAAGCCGTTTTACGAGTGAACTACCTTAAAGATATGGGGGTGTATTTTTCATAATTTTGTAGGGGGAATTGCGAATTATATATTTTCATATTTACAAAAATTGCAGATCTACTTTTAGTTTCGGAGAAGCGTCGTGACATGCCACTGGCGGGAAATGTTTTGGAAAGCCCTTTTTTGTATAATTATCTGTTTTATTTCTGTGACTATTGAATATGTATGTGTAAGTCGTTTTGTTTTAATTGGATTTTTATACCATAAAGGTAGCCCGAAATATAATAATAAATACATAATTCTTTCTACCCGTAAAAGAGTCAATTTAGAGAATTATGATACCTATCCAAAAATGAACAGTCATATTTCTAAATTCCTAATAAAATTACCTTTTTAATGATGTACTAGACATTGTAGTGTCAGACTCTATAATGCATATTTTATCTGATTTAGTTTGAGAAACATTAGAAATACAGTGTTGCTAGATAAATCAATTGTCAGCAAGTAATGCGACTTTTGATATCAGAAAAGTTGTATAAAACTAAAAATTTAAAAATTGTCAAGAACATCCCAGGGTTGGCAGGTACAGGTTTTTTGTACCTAGGTTTTTTTAAAAAACCTAAGAGTCAAAAATCTACAATTTTAGGTTTTTTAAGATACCTAAATAATAAGAATTCACAATTTTACTAATCAACTTTCAGGAGAAAGGGTGCAAAAATGAGTATATATAAAAACATGCAAACATTTCATCACAGGTTATAATTACTTCTTATTGATATTGATATTAATGATAGTGACAATAATTTTTGACATATTATTATGAACTAAAGACCTTAAAAAACTTATCAAACCTAAAAACCTACTTATATATTTTTGAATTCTTAAGTTTTTTCCATCTCTGGATCATCCTCGTCCTCGGCTTTGCTTTGATACCTCAGCTGCGCTGTTTCGAGCCATTGCCAAACAGACAACTGTCACTAACTGACCTATTTTCTGTTATATACGGTTTCTTACTATATTTGGCAACACAGCATTTCTAGAAATGTCAATTGTCATAGGTACCTATCCATAAATAAAAATTAGTTTCTATTTTTATTTATTGCTCTATGGATAGTCTAAACTCTAAACAATTAAGTGTAATATTGTTATTTACCCATTTCTGTACCTCGGAGCCAGACTATGTTAAGTCCAAATTGGCCAAATTTTAGATAAATATGTTAAGTGACTTAAAATTTTGCGGCGCATCGTTTGGCATTTTCCATTTTGACGTATCTTTTAAAATAACAAAAATAGCTAATTTTTAACTACGCTAAGCCCACAGTCCACACTCTAAAATGAATATATTAAAAATGCTCTCCTGAAAAACTAAGTTTTTGGACTTACCATACTCTGGCTCTGGGGTACAGATTTGTACAACAATAAATCAATTAAAATGATTCAATTCATATTTTATTATGGTTGAAACTGGATAAGGTAAAAAAAATTAAGTATCAGTATAAAATAATTATATGCAGTGTATTTCAAAGTGTCTAGAAGCTTTCTATAAAATTTCAATTATTGCTATTTATCTTAACTAACAAATTTCTTGACTTTTAAAAAGTTTTACCAGAGTTACATTTTTTGTGTCTACTGGGACGTGCAAGTAAATAATACCTACTGTTTATATTAGAATTAAAAATATATTCTCAACTTGGATTAAAGGATTCTAAAACGTAACAACAATGTTTACAAAACAAACTGGCTATTTAATAATTAAAAAAAATAATTTAGTATCATTTATTTACATTACACGATAGGCTCTCACTCAGAAAAGGTGAGTACTTGGGTACTTAACTAATCTAAAATACACTCCTTAAAACAATACAATTAGTATTAGCACATTACGCCTTAGAACAACTAACAAAACACAGATATCCAATACATTTTTAACACAATTTAGACAAGTAAACAAACTTCAAGGTCAAACAAAACTGCACTTATATAAAAAACTGGTTTTCGAAGTAAAAATATCAAATGATTTCATCGAAATAAATCTATTATCTAATCCACTAACGGCAATCGAAGAACACTTTCTTCAATAAAAGTAGGAGGATACCTAATACCTACACTACAGAACGGTACAGAAGGCACACCCAGTAAAATGGTCCAAAATAAAAACTCACCCTAATTATCAGCTCGATTTCCGGCACTTCACCGTTTTCCCCATTTTCGGCATGGCCATTTTGTTCGACAGCATCAGCCATTATTGTAGAATTGAATTTTTAACCGGGAAAGGCACTCAAGTTTACGATTTGTTGAAACTCAACACACTCTCGCACACGAAACTTAACTGATCTTATGACTCAGTTGGAAAAGGCTCTGTGCGGAGGTGCCAGGTCATCAGTATGATTTCCTATCGGATCGGGTGTCAGCTGTCAAATTACATTTAGTCATACAATAAAAAGTTTATAAATTACAGATAATTTTGAATGTCTGACAACGCTGCAGGTTAGGACGAAATCTAGAAGTAATGCATGTTATTATTTCAATTCGACAACAGATGGATGATATACTCTTTCAAAATTAAATTGTTAATTTATGAAATATGAACTTGTTTTATGTATTTTACTAAAGTAAAAGTAATAATAATTATTTTTACTTTTTTAATCAGGTAAATTTTAGTTTTATACCTCATTTTACAGTTAAATAAATCCTAGTAATACAGATGCTGCCATCTTTCGAAAAATAGAAAAATTACATGTAAAAATTTGGAGATTTACAATAATATTCATAGAGAGAGCGGACTTTTTATTGATTTTGAATTTTAAAGAAATATTTCGTTGTATTTATTGTATAATAAAAGCATAAAGAACTAGTAGTTCTTTATGCAATGCCTAAATACAATGAGTTTATGTTAATATATCTTTATTACAAGAAATAGCCAATAAAATATTTCAAAATTAATTAGGTATTAATTCATAATATATAATCGTATTTAAACATTTTTTAAAAGTAAAGGTATTTATAGTAAGTTTTGTTCTTATTCTCACGTAAATTTTAGTTGAATAAGACTGAAAGTCTTATTTAAACATAAAATAATTATGAATCAGGTGCTGCCATCTTTAGACGGATATATTAAGATGTTAGAATGTTGAGTTGTAGAATAATGCTCATAGATGACGGAATGGTTACTGATTTAGGATTTTATTAAGACACATTTTATTTTTACTTGTGTAGAAGTTTAAAAAAAATGTATACAAGAGAAGCACGTTAATGTACGGTCAAATAGATAATATTTATTATACTCTTGTAGATAAATAAAATGACTTAAAAACCGAATGTAAAATTCGAAATTTTAAAATTAAATACATAGGTACCTGAGTAGGTAGGTATCTACACCCACAAAAAGTATCGCATAGGTAAGTGGATTATGACTTTGCGTTTTTATTGTCTCCTATTTTTTTTTAAATAGCAGGTAATGAAACTTAGGAATGTCTAATAGTGGACAATTATTCTACAAAAAAGAAAAAATTCAAAATAAAATTATATGCTTCCTAATTTTGCTTGTTTGTGATGACGTGTATAAATTTTCGGTTCATAATGTATGCATACAGTAGGTACGCCAAGAATGAGGTGGCAAGTCAGAAATGCCCAGACAGCACAAATAGGTCAATTTGATATACAATTTTGGATGTCTGGATGTGCAAAATGAGATTTTTCTTCCGACATCCAATGGACGTCCAGTGAAGTACCTATACCTACAAATGGCACACTTTTGACCATTCAGAGGACGTCCAATTCTGGATTATATTTGGACGTTGAATGCTGAACATTTATAGAACGTCTAAGTATTCCTGGATTATATTCCATTGAGACCACATCCCTACTTTTTTACACACTATTTTATATTATTAATAGTTTATTTATTATTTTCGCAACACCATTTCTTTTTTTATTAAAAATCGCTTGATCTAAGCAGAGATTAAACTCACGACACGTTCATTATCGTTCTACTCTTTCAATCACTAGGAGATCTCGACCAAGAAATGCCACTTGAAAACTTTTATGGTTATAATATAATAAGATTTTAAACTTCCGCTGATAGAATGAAATGCAACCCAGATAGCACAAATACGTCTTATGGACGTTCTAAAAACGTCCTACTAGGACATTCAGGACATCTTTACAACGTCCATTTCACGGACATGGACGTCTTTGGAACGTCCATTGTTAATATTCAGGATGTCTTAAGAATATCCATTTAAGAACATTACTTGAACATTTTCAAAAGCTCAAATGGGGAATAACAGGATGTTTAAGGAAATTAGTGAAAATAATTTCAAAATATTTTATTTGGAAGCAAATAACCTATGAATAATAAAATTATTAAAACTTTTTCGTCAAATTCATCTCGTCTCGTCTCTGCTTTGCCCTTTGCAACCATGCCTGGATTGACAGCAGTTCAGTTTTTTTTCTTGATTTGGCATTATTTGCTTTCTCAGATGAAACCTGAAAATAATTTAATCGCTTATTCAAAATGAAAGGCAGATCAATATGAAAAACCAAACTGATTTTGTTTAAGTTTGCCCTGTTAGACATTCTGAATTCACTAACCTTTTAGCTTTGTAGTATTCACTGGAAAACTTCCACCTTTCTCAGAAATAACAAGTATTAGAAATTAAAAATTTAAAAAAACCGTCACCACATCTTAACCAAATTTATGTGGGACCACCCCTGAGGTATCCCCTTACTAACAAAAAAAGAATCATATAAATCGGACTAGGTGGTAAAGCATTATCGCTAACCATACATAAAAAATGAAGAGTTTGAGGATTTTCTCACGGACCCAATTATTATATTTTGACCAAATTTATATGGGACTACCCCTGAAGTACCCCCTTTCTAACAAAAAAAGAATTTTAAAATCGGACACCGTGTTGAAGAATTATCGCTTAACATACATAAAAAATAAAAAAATAAAATATCGCGACGAATTGAGAACCTCCTTCTTTTTTGAAGTCGGTTAAAAATAGTACAAACTGCAAAAAATTAATATTAATCAACCACAGACTCACAGAGTCGAATCATAGTCAAATGGCGGAATGATAGAACTTGTTCATACCATCGAATCATGAACATTGAACACCATGTTTTTTTTTGTGTCATCGGTATCAACTGCTAAGGTTATTAGCCTCGTGTTCTGTGTAGGCTTTGTTACTGTTTCCCAGCGCCACTTTAGGAACAGCACTGTTAATTAGAACCCAACAGTGAATAGTCGAGTGGGAAATCCTACCAAGGCATCAGAATACACCATGTTTACTTCTTTTTTTTTTAATAAAACCTGAGCCCTGATAATATTTTAGTGCTTGAATCTAAATAAATAAAAATAAAAAATAATAAAATGTCACTTGTCAAAAATGTTCCTTTCTTGCAATGACCTTCTTCGTTTTTTGTCTATTTGGCCTTCATTCAATTGGATATTGGGACAATGCCATCTTTAATAGAATTATTTATATTATCTCATTATATATGTCGTTTATAAAATTTAACCAAATAATAATACAATGCGAATGTGAATCCATGGAAATATAATAAAGCACGTATAGAATTGACGTTCTACGGATATCTATTTATTAACGTCCCGAGGATTTACTAAACTGGACATACTTAAAACGTCCAAAATTGGTATTGGACGTACAGACGATAAATGGACACGTAATGGACGTCCTTAGGACGTCCTGTGCTATCTGGGAATAGATTCAATTTGTAATGACCAATTATATTAAAAAAAGGAAGTGTATGTAGATGGGTATTATTTGGTAAGCTAAATAAATAAATAGATAATAATGGACGACCACTGGACGTCAAAATACTACTAAACTTAAACATAAGTCCAAAAACAGACGTCCTCTTGGTATCGATATACAGCTATCTAATTAATGATCATAAACGGACGTACACCGGATGTCCGAATACGGATATAGACGTTCTGGCCCTCAAATGGATCTAAAGTGTACGTCCATTGGACTATGTGTGCTGTCTGGGTAGATGCGCACTGGCAAACATTCAAAATAGATCAATTTGGCAACACTGCAAAAGTGAACACAGATCACTGAAACAATATATGTAGCATCGAAGTTCAGCCATTAACTGAGATAACTCTTCCTATTTTTAGATTTGCTAATGCGCATCTAATTTTGATTGCCATCCCAATTTGTAAATATGCTAAATTTATTTATCATGAAATTCAAAGTAGTCAAATCCTATTTAATTGGATTTTCTATAATCACGATTTCTTTAGAAAACAATAATTAGTTACCTATTTGATTGTATTTGTATTTGTTTTAACTTACCGAGGGTTGAGAGCCTACCGGGTGCGTCTCCGGGTGGTGGATAGGAGGACGGTCAGAATCTCTGGCCAGTGGCAGATATAAGTAGGGTGAGGGGATATAAAAAACCCCGAAATCCTTTGCGAAACCTGCCGCCGCGAACCAGCTCACCTCCGCCGGAGGTTGAGGCGGGATAATCTATCCTCTCGCAACTTTACGGGTCCTCGCTTTGCCGTAGCGGAGGGGCTTACAGTTTAAGGATATAACCCTACGGCCAAAGGCACAGGTATATATATGCCATGCCTTTGGAAGTAGGAGCCATTGAAAACTAACCAAGTAGGACGAACGAACGCCAGGTTTAATCTAATGTGTCAGTAAACCGTGCCGAGGGATGAATAGCAGCTGTGCCTGCATCGAAACAGCTGTGTCAAACGATACCTCGGGATACCGGCCACCCTTCCGAGTAAGTAGGCTTGCCCGTCTAAGGCGGGGCTCTGGACGGGTTGACGTATCTTTCCCCAACTACTCGTGGGAACAATATGGACCTAGAAAATACAAAAACTAACTTACAAACTTCTACTGCTAAACAGGCAAATGTGCCACCAGCAGTAGTCGAACAAGAGCAATCTCAGGCATGAGTGCCAGAGATAACGAAACAGGCCACAAAAGTTGACCAGACAAATGTGCCCTCAACATCTAAAAGGCCCAAATCCAGAAGAGTCACCTCCGAAGAGGAGATTGACCTAATGTCAGACACAGAAGTCAGATTCTTTGTCATATCCGGTCGAACGAGAGCAAGGCTAAACAACCTGGTAATATTGGATAAGATTTAATTGCTGCCAAACGAGGCATAATCAAGGAAAACTTTGTCAGATCTTAAGTTAAAGCCACCTCAAACTTCAACCACCGAGGCCAGCCAGATCGAAAAAAAGACCACAAAAAGGCCAAGATCGGAAGGACATACTCCCCCTGCAGATCGGAAAGT